AATTGCCATCCTTCAGTGAGAGCTGCCAGGGGTCCTGGGCTCTGATCTGCAACAGCTTTTGAGGTCCTTATGACCACTGTATGATCTCAATGAGACCCACCAGGGAGCCAGAGCCCTGCTTGGCTCTGGGCACCCAGTCCTTGCCTTGTGTCTGTCTCCTGGCTGGATCTACCCGGGCTGTAGCTCAGTTTCCAGCTCTGTCTCTGCCAATATCTCCTGGTGGTCTGGGCTGGACTCTGGACCAGGTTCATTCCCTCACCTTGTCCAGGGCTCTGCCTCCTGGCTTAATCCCCTGTTGCACAATGAACCATCACTGTTTGCACTGTGCTTGACTCCCCCCCAGGTGCTCTCCCTCATGGAACAGCTCTGCTCTTACAGCTCCCTGCTGCTTCTGCTCTTTCAGACAAGTGGAGCAGCAATGCAGACCACCAAGAAGCCCCTCCAGGAGACCTCCATGGATGAGGGTGGTGAGGATGGTGAGAAGTACTTTGGGGGTGGAGGGACATAAAACATATATATCTATATATACACACACACACATATATATATATATATATATATATATATATATAGCCAAAACACAAGAGGTACATTCTCCTGTTTCTATAGCAGGACTGCTATTGGGATAAAGTATTAAATTTGCTGTCTAGTTTATAAGCTAAGAGTCAGAGCATTACAGCGGGAGAACAGCACTTGACCTAACACAACACACTTCTGGAGCAGTTTCTATTCTCTATGAAATCTGGTGGCTTTACCCCTAGCCCAATTATTTCCCTGAAGAAGGAAAAACTACTATGTGCTAACTTGAATTGATACATACAACTCCATCTGAGCATTTTCCTTTAAAAAAGCACTGCCTTGCACCAGTGACAAAATCTTTTGTCTCTGCTGCTCTTGAGCCTTACCCAAACAAGGAACAGTCATTTCTTTAACAGATAACTTCCACTTTTCCTCCGAAAAAAAAAAATCACACACATCATACCACCACCTCCCTTCCCTCAGCTTGAAAACCTGAAGGGTAACAAAGTACCACGTTGTTCCTGACGATTTTTTTTTCTCTCCTAGTTGTCTCATATCCAAAGAGAGACAGTAATTACTGTATTGCCTCTCACCTAAGACTTGGATAAAAATAGGCTGGCGTCAGTCACATTGCTGTGTCGTGCTATGACTGCTTGTTTGCAAGGCTGGCTGAGCTATCCCACAGCTTTTTGACATTAGCACTCCAAAGGTGCAAACAGACTCATCCCTCACATCCTGAGGTGGCCAACTGGATGTACCCAAAGCTCAGGCAAGCTCTGTTGCTTTTCCTTCATACATTGCGCTTTTCAGCCTTCAAAGTACTAAACTCCAGCAAACAGTCCATCCTACATGCATTCCTTTTGTACTGCTTTTTCAGCACTGCATCCAAGTGCCTGCGTTAAGATCACACACCAAACACCCTGCAGGCAAAGGGAAACTTCTTTTCCTACCTATGAGGTAATCAGCTTGGTTCAGCTTTTACACCTCTGAAGTTTTCAGCACTAGGAAAATAAATGTAGAGCACAGGCTGGATGTGAAATACATGGCAGAAGTATGCAGCCAGACCCAGGGTGTGAAAAACTGGAGAGAGCTGCAGAGTGGGAGTGCAAGAAGCAGGAATCCCCTGGATCCTGAAACCGAGACCATGATCACAGGGTGGACAGGCATGCTCTTCATTCAACAGTAAAAAAGGAAATCCACAGCCAGTTTCTCTTCCCTTCCTCCTGATTTCAGTGGCATAACAATCCCACATCCACATCACTACTAAGCCATAATGAGCAGCAAGGGGAAACAAAGCCAGACATACTTTTTATTAATCAATAATTAGACACTACCTTCAGGAAATATCTGAAATAGTCTCGTATGCCTTATGACAGAGTAAAGTTTTCATTACAGAACACATTACATCAGGCAAGTTTGGGGCTATGCCTGAAACTCCTGGTGTGATAAGTGAGAATAAAAAAAGTAACATTATGGTCAATTACTTTGGCAGGGAGAGGGGGGAATAGAAGACAGAAGAGAATATGAAGCTGAAAAGAGCCATAAGCAGTGTGTTATCTGCTAAATCAGAAAAAGACAGGGCTGTATGTCTAAAGGAGGGATGCACTAACACATACATCATATTCCAGACTGATGCCCAGGAAGTTCATGAAGGAAGAAGGGATGAGATGTTATACAGAAATGCCAGTTGTCATACGGGAAATATGGATAGCTAGAACTGTCTTGCCTGGGATGTTATCATGTGGCAGGAGGCTGTGAATATGATGGATGGTATCAGGGAAAATCAGGTTTCAATGAGATAGTACCCCAGTTAGAGGATGTCTCACTGCTTTCTGCTCCCCCAGCAGAAACATGAAAGCTCACCACTGGCCCAGGACATGGAGAAGTGGAGTTAAGCTTCCAGACGTGCATACCACGACAATTCTGGGGACAAAGAATAATTTTCTTCCTGTTTTAGAGCACAGACTAATCTCTGAAGGCTCTGGGGAAAATGCCGGCACACATAGAACGTGGGATAATACAGATAATTTTGTGCAAAAGGTGTCTCGGCTGGGAGGGGTGGAGTGGGAGTTTTAAACAGGAACGGGATTCTGTTGTATCAGCCTGAGGCAGGGAAAGCTACTGACCATACAGTTCAAAGCTCACATTTGAATCCTCTGAGCCTTAACAGCATGCTTGTAAATAAAACATTAAAGAAACAGCTCCTTTAAAGATGAATATACATGTAAATATTAAGAGTAAGACAAGAACTGTGAAAAACACATTTCCCCACTGCTCTGTTTGGGCTGCAGTTCTCTGAAGAGTTTTCTCTGTGGAAAGCCCTAAGACCACAAATGTTGCTTTTCAGCCGAAATAAACAGGATAAAGGGAGAAATACCTGGAGTCCCATGCAGCTGTGATTACTGTTGGTGTCAGGTGAATTTCCATATGGAACTGACCACCTGCTGCTTTGGAGATGCCATCTCCCATTGAAATGTTTCTAATGTCCAGTTTGCAAATACTTCTGTTTACCAGAAAAAAACCCCCCAAACCCAACAACAACAAATGTTGTGCCTGCCTGTGTGAAAAAGAGGGAGGATGACTGTAGAATTGTAAAACTTACTCAAGTCACTTCAGTGTTCCACCTAAAAGGCTTCCCTTCTAAGACATTTATCAGGCTGCTTCTCTAGGCAGTGGAGAGATTCAGGCCCTTCAGGTGATTCACTTCATCCAGTGTTGCACAAGGAAAATAGCTGGATGAAACCTGCTTTGAAGATGCTTCCCCTAGCAGTTCTTTCCTCAGCTGACCTTTAAATAACAGGCACATCTAGTAAGAGGCTCTCACCAGACTGGGATGAAGACTGTCCACTTGAAACCTCTTCACTTGTCCCAGCTGACAGTCATACTTCCCTATTTGCACGGAAAAAAACGCACAACCAAAAAAGGAGAGACCTTTCTTTTGCTAACAAGACCAGAAGATCCTGTTTGCTAAAACATCCCTTGGCAACCTCAGCTACTTTAGAGAGCAACTTCAACTTCTGAGCTAACTGAAGAAGCAAACATTTCATGCATGACACATTTGGGTTTGCCACTGAGATGGAGCAGTGAGATGGCTGAGGGAAACAGTGGCTCTTGCTGGAAACTTTGTGTGACAACCAATTCCCCCCTACATTAGACTCAGAGAAGCCTGGCTGCTGCTCTGCAGTCTTTAATGCAGAGATAGAGAGAGATGTGAGGCCAATGTATGTGGATAAATCAGGCATTTGCAGTAATGGAATCTTAGAGTCAACTTTATTAATGAATCTTCAGTGCAAAGGGAAAATATCCTGGCACAAAAAAGACCAATGAGTTGAAGAACAGTACAGCTCCATGTTACACTGCCTTCCCCCTTTGCACTGATTTGGGCAGTGTCTATAATGTTCAGAGAACAGAATCATATACTACTAGTTCCCCCAGCACTCAGCAATCAATATTACTCAGCACAGTCAAAATCCTTCAAGCCTGTCCTCTGGCAAAACTCACCCTAAAATCAGAGGGAATTCTGTGAGAATAAAAACCGAACAGGAACTAAAGTCCCAACTCAATTCTCAGTTGAGCTTTGCAGACCAACCATCAGGACTGGAAATATGTTTGATTTTCATCATTATAAGAGAACAGCAAGGCTCAGTAATCCCAATTCTACCCTCTCTTAGTTTCAGCATCAACAGGACAGATAACACAAAACAGAGCTTGGCATCTGGTTGCTCAAGGTTAATTCATAAAGTAGCTGTACTGGAAGAGAAAAGAAACAATCTCTGAGGCTCTTTTTCTGGTATTCTGTTACCACTGCTTTCCTACAACTCCCTGAAAAACACTTGGTTTAAAAAAGCTGTTCATATTTCCTCTTGTGCCAGACACCACATTTTGTTTGGCATATACATTTCTGATAGCCTTTCCTTCACAGATGTCTATAAAGTTCACATCAGTCAGTTCTTTAAACTAGGTATATTAACATCAACACAGACAATTTTGTTCCAAGCACAGTTTTTCTTTACGTCTATGTTCTGCTGTTCACTTTTGCTTCTCTAAAGATGACAGTATTGCTACATATGCAGGACAATCAGGACTCCTGTGATGCTTAACACAGGCTGTACAATGCTGTAATGGCCCATTTTCACTGTCAGCAACACGGCCTGACACATCAGCAGCTTCTGGCACTAGCAGCTTTCTGAGGGAAAGGGGAGATTTCAATTTAATTTCTTTCCTCTCACTTTTCCTAACTTCCTTCCAGAAATTACAATTCTTGAAAATGCACATGTAGAAATCAAGAAAGAAAAGAAAAAGAAGGCAACACCACCATAAAACCTCCTCACATTTATCACTGTAACATTTCTTGGGTGGTAGAACAGGGTCCAGTGATGTTTGGGGTGAGGAGGAAAAGGCAGGGGGCAAAGAGGCAACACATTTCTGACTCCTTAAAGCCATCAGAAGAGTTAGAGATATGAAAAACAGTTTATAATTACCTCTGTTGAGTGAAGCTGAACTGTTTATATCTCCAGTAATAAAGGAAGACTCGGACTGCTTTCGAACTGTGTCATTCCACATCCTACGGATCCGGCTCTGAAGAGGGATTGAAGCACAGCAGGCAATGAATTTTTAGCAGCTGTAGAGAGGTTTCTTTCTGCCTCACTAAAGATGGCTACTGGCATGTCTAGCTCAGGATGAGACTTGCTTCTAGCCAGCTGTAAGCAAGCAGTTGCTGTTTTGTAGTAACCTGCCTCATGCATGCCAGACCCTGCCAGACTCACTTTGTAACACAAATGCCTAGCTCAAAGAAAAAGTGTATAATTGAATTGCTTACATCTTAATTTAAAAAAAAACAAAAACAAACCAACAAAAACATGCATGAGAGAAACCCAGACCCCATGCCAGCTACAGGTTTACCAATATAGCACCAAATAATGGAAAAAATAACCCACAACAGAAGTACATGTGCTTCTCATACTCAGACGACTTGTTTCTTATTTTTTGTAAAGTGTAACAGAAGACTTGACTTGTATCTTGGTGTCCCTGAATGAACAGAAGTTTTCTATAGCTATTTTCTATCTTGGGGATTTTAGGGGGGCAAAAAAATTCCCCACAAATGAATGACTTCTGTTCCCATACTGAAAAAATCTGTGATGGTTTTGCCATCTGTGGTGTAACTTCTGCTACTGGCAAAAGGGTCCTGAATATGTTGGCCTTCTGTTTTGTTCCTCAAATATGCTGTGAAGTATCTGCCTCTGTGGCATTTACATCACTGTCTCACTCCTCCCCAACTAGACCTTGCAAAATATCAAAAAATCAGCCAAAATGCATCTTGTGAGCAGTTCAGTCTCAATCCCTGAATGAAGATGACTGGAGATCCCAGGTGTCCCAGGGAAACTCTCCCTCACCTCACATCTGTGACTCCGATGGATGTTTTCCCTGGCTGTGTGCAAGGGATGCTAGGTGGTCTGGGGGACTGGGAAGCCTTTCTCCCACTCTGACAGACCACGTTTTCTTAACTGCCAAAAATCCAGTGGGTCCCATAGTGAGATTTTAGCCATGGGAGATCTACCAAGGCTTACTCATATAGTCCCAGGCTGAAAAGTCCTAGATTACTCATTAACCATGGAATAACAGCTTCTCCTAATCACACATTATCCCTCTATAAATGGAAGTATTATGTGACATGAGGCCCATGCCCTTTTACAGTAATTATTCTTAACCGGGACATTTAATTTATTGTATTTCTCTGACATGATCCATTGTAGATTAACTATTCTGTTTTCTGTGTGCTTCTCAGAGAATAAAGGGATATTAGAAGCTTTCCTCCTTACGGTCTTCTCTATTTAAAGTTACAAGCCAGATGTTTTCAACAACTCAGACTGATCTCCATCTACTCTCCATCACCATCACCTGTATGAGGTTTCTCCTGGCTACAGTGGGCCTTAGGAAATTCCATCCTTCCAAGGACATGCTTCTGCAGACAAAATAATCTTCCTTGGTGCCTCAAACTTCACCTGCCACAAGGGGATCACTGCCAGAGGACTCAGTTCACCCTCAAAAGGGCTTGTTCTCTTGTTCTGGGACTGGTGATGGGGGAGACCATTGAAGTCAACTCTTCCTGGAGAGGAGGGCACCAGCACAGCAGCTAAGTTATGTAACACTAGAGGCTTTCAAATCAGCCACCTAAATGCTGCTGGATATTGTGAGTTTTGGACATTACTGGGATTTGATGGCCTGCTGGAGAGAGGTTCTATTGCTTTTATTTGCTCTGCACAGCTATCAGACCTATGAAAACACCAAAGCAGAGCTTTTGGATGGCATCTTGGAAACCACTGCAAATAAATAATGATTTGCTCCAAGACATAAATTGCAAATTAGGTTTTCCTAGAAAGTTATAAGCTGTTACTCGCTGCATGTCTTTTATAATTTAATACTGGAACTGTCATGTATAATTACTTCCATTACTAATACTGAATAAATTTGTGTTTGGTTTCTATTGATTAAGAAATAAGCTTCTTCATTTTATATGAACTCTTTATCCATAAATTTGCATCTCTACACACGTTAGCTTCAAAACTGCTAAGCGCGCAAACTTCACAAAATCTGAATTTTTAGGTGACCAAAGACAACAAATCTAGTAGCTTAGTGAGACAGTCTGACCCCAATGGCTTGCCCTAAGAGGTCTATAAGCTAAGACAAATTGTGTGAGACACAGAACAGACCAAACCACCGAATGTCAGAAAGCCAGCTCTTTCACTGGGAAGTCTGATACAAGACACTTGCAGCCTTTCATTTTTTTTACAAGAAAAACACTTGGTGCTTATAGCATCATTCTTGTACATGTTAATAGTTAATAGTAACAACCTTCATCTCATGATTAAAGGATGTAGTAGAATGTAGCACAGCTGACAAAATGTTCCCACCTCCTTCCCCCCACGGAGAGCAGGCAGGACACCTCAGGTGACAACCACCCACCTGCCTCTGGAAGGCAAGTTTGGATGTTTTATTCCCAACAGAACTATTTAGAAGATTCTTGGAGAGGCATTTAAATGCCATCACATCTCAGGGGAAGCCACTGTGTTGAGTTCAGGTCTGGAAATGAGGGAAATCTCTGCAGGTGCACTGGGGAGAGGTCTAAGGCAGCTCCTTTGGTGCTGAGAGGAGCTTTCCTGAGAAGGGTCTTGGCATGGCATTGGGACACAAACAAGAAGAGTGGGGGTTACCTGTGAGCCTGTGGAATATCTTCCAGGTGTCCTTGACCCCGAGGTTTTTCCTGAGCCGATAGAACTCTCTGTACTTTTCCCACTACAGCAATGTGTGCGCAGGCATTTTCCGTACTCTTTACGTACCTAGCCAAGGAAAGAGCAGTGGTGGTTAGCAGACAGCTCCTCCCTCCAGCCCACTGCCTTCTGATTTTCAACACAGCCCCTGGTTTTTCCTCAGTGTTTCATTAAAACAAAATCTGCTGCAGTGTGTGGGAAAGCAGTCTAGTACCCCTTGCAGCTGAGCTCAAGGCTTAGGATGTCACAAGAGGCTGCTCCCATGCAGCAAAATCTGCTCGTTGGCACCAGCCAGTTACAGCATCCTCTGAGGCACATCAAAGGAGCACGGGAGAAAGTGCAGGTACACTATTTATGACTGAAAATTAATATTGTTGTAGATTTGATATAAACTAGCATATTGGCTCATCAAGGTACTAAAAGTTATTGCTTCTGGCAGGGGACTAAGAAAAAAGAATTCCAAGAGAAACATATGAAAGCTATTGATTTTTTTATAAAAAAATTTTTCTTGCAGTCAAATTGAAATTTGAGGAAACTGAAGGACCAGCAGCATTAGAGGTTATATTCCCAGTGCTCAGGGATGGCTGGAGCCTGCTTTTCCACAGCACTGTGCAAGCCAGTCATTTTAAATGGGCATTGCAGTCTAACCCGTGCCACCTTCCTTTGCTTCAGAGGAACCACACTGACTTGTGCCAGGACAGGATCTAACCTTCCACCAAGCTTCAGGTGTGGCTTTCTATGGGCAACAATACCCAGAAACCAGATGGGACAGGGCTGAAGGCGAGCAGACTGTACTGAAGAGCCAAAAGAGGGTCATGTTACCCATTGACACAAAAAAGCCCCCAACCATCATGCATGTCCGAAACATCAGTTGAAATTCCTTGAAGCACATAGTTAGCTGTAAAATTTTGCCAAACTCTCCACGAGCATTTCACAACTCTGTGAAACAACTGTTTAAATAGCAAATTACAGCTTTTTCATTAGGCTCTTCCTTAAGCGCTTGAGACAAACACATACCACAAGTGCCCAATATGCTCGAGTGCCTAATCAATCCTTTGCTGAGAGAAAATAATTCAATTGCTTTAATTAGCCACCCACTGCTTGCCTCTCTGCAGCGTTTTGCCGATTTTCTAGGCCGTGATAGATAGGAAAGGAAAGAATTTTTTTTCTCCTTTTAAATAATACCTCCCTCAGCTCTTAGGTCAGAGAGATGCATCCACCCCACAGCAAGGTACTAGCTGCATTCTCCTTCCCTCTGTGCAGCCGTAAATCAGGAACAATTCCACACTCATCAGTGGTGGTTTAAGGGTGTAAATTGGCTTAAGACAGAAAACAGAATGGTTCTGTCATGATGACTGAGAACTCTATGAGCCAGGGAGGCTGTGGAGCAGTACAGGGGTGCTGGGTTAGGGACTGACCCTTTGCGGGGTGCCTTGGAGGTGGGAGGATGTACCAGTCAGAATGGTGCAGAAATTCAAACTCCTCACAGAGAGGCACCTGCACGTTTAATAAGCAATGGTGATGCTTCCTACCCTCTTACTATCATCTTGCCTGGAAACTCTCTTGCTGAAAGGTTTGGGATCATCAGCAGGAAGTTGCATCTAGATAAAGCTTTTAAGCTTCTTAAGATGGACAAATTTGAGATGCAACAACAAGGACTAAACTCTTAACCCCAAAAGTATTCCTATGGTTTTAAAAATGACATTTACACACAGCTCTGCAGATCCTTCCAGAGGCATCACGTGCAGAGCTCACTTTTTATGATGAATTATGATTATGTTTTAATGGGTCAGATCTCCCTTGCCTGAAATAGGAAAATGTGAATAACAGAGGACCAAGCCTGTGGCTCTCAGATGGAGGACAGATCTCAACACGGACCTGACTTTACTCAGTAAGTCATTTCACCAAACCTGAGAAACTGGGACCAATGTATCCACATAAACTCTTTCCTACGTTTATACTGGTTCAGTAAACTGCCCTTTGAAACTAAGATGTACATAGCAAATGATCAGCAGACATGCACAGAGCTGGAGAGCTCCGTTAGACTGATTTTAAGTAGAGAATAAAAAGGTTCTTAAAAATACTTATTGTCAGAAGCTGTAAATTTGATCTACATAAACACAGAACTTTTATTCTGTTGGGGTTCCCTCCTCCCCAGAATTTATCTAAGTTACTCCACTGTTATCATGCAAATGTTAATTGGGGCATACTTCAGTTTCCACCAAGAAGCACTTGCTGTGCTTGCTTTGAGGAAGATTTCCAAAACACTGTATCAGACACAAGGAATACAAAGGCTAATGAACTGCTGCAGAGCACAGGTCCTTCAGTTCTTGGAAAAGTAGGGGAAGCAGCCCCTATTACATCCCATCAACCCACATATGCTGCCACAGAAAGAGGTAATTTCCTGCAGGGACTGCAAATAAGGATGTAAAGCTCCACTTTGCTGTGAGCACTCAGCCACGTGAGCACTTTCTGGATGCTCATGGATTCTCTTCCCTCTCACACTGGCATACAAGGAAGGAGAATCTGGCTGACAGCAGGCAAAGCCCTGTTACAGGGCCCTGCAAACTGACAGCTGCCTTTTCCCTTGCCTCTGACACATCTGCCAGGGCCTGGCTGCTGAAATGCCACTGCCACACGTTCTTATTAGAACCTCATTCCCCAGCATCTTGCTAGTTTCCAGTCTAAATACCACTCTTATTAGGTGCACAGAGATAGAGCTGTGTGATAGGAATTCAGGGCACACAGGCGATGCTATGCTGTGGTTGTTAGGCAACAAAACACCTCGTTACCACCTCTCTTGCTGCTGGGAACCGTCGTCTTACCTTTTTCTGGAGGACACAATGGAAAATGAATATAAACATTCCCTGCAGAGAATTGAATATGGTGAAGAGATACGCCATGATGACTGTGCTTTCATTAATATACATGAGTCCGAATGCCCAGGTCAGTCCTAATAGGCAGAGTAGGGCTATTGCACCTATAACCCAGGACCTGTAAGGAGAAACAAAAATAAAAAAAAAAAAAAAGAAAAGAAGAATGGGATTGGTTTTTCATCTACACAAAAGAAGGCATGTGTCTACAGGCAGGAAGATTTTGCCCCTGGTTTTAGCAAAAAGAAAACAGCATATCAAAATAAATCATAGGGAGCTTTTGTCTTCAAGCTGAATGCAGTTTACAAATCTTAAAGCTTGAGGAAATACAAGGAAATGGAAGTGTTATGAGCATAGAAATTTATCATAACCAAAGCACATTTGTAACCACAATGTCTCTTTTATTTTTTAAATATGTAAAAGCAGTGTGCATGTAAATGACATGTAGATGTTATTTCTGCAAATGGATGAAAAGAAAATAAACCAAATGAAATGACAACTCTGATTGTCACTTTTTTTAGTGTCCACTGGTTTCACAGGAATGCCAGCTGGATTACTTTATTTACACTTAACACCAAGACACATGTATTGCTGCATTTTAGCTAGTCTCCCATATGCCCGTAAGCCAGATAAACAGCTACAGGCAGGTGGGCAAGCCTTCCCTGCTTGCCAGATCCACTCCACACAAGGATGTTCTTTGCAATGCTGCTTCACACTTCTTCCACCCTGCGATGAGGGGAAGTGTGTATACTCATACAGGCACTCACACACTACATTCACTAACACACTAGTTGCTGCCACACGTCTGCCCAGAGAAAACGAGGGGCAATCCTTCTTCACATGGGCTGCAAAACTAAGATTATCACTTGCTCCACCTCAGGAGAGCAGTGGGAGTAGAGGCGTAGCCACTTGGCCCCAGATGCTGTTCCAACACAGAGGGGAGCAGGATGCTTTTGCCTGCTTTCTCCCACTGACTTTCTGGCTGGACAACAGAGCTGGGGACATCGGATGACTGCTGCATGTTAGGTTTTTTGGGTGTTTTCAGGAAATCTGGAAGCTCTGCTGGGATGGCAGGAGGAGTATTCCATATTACCTTACTAAATAACATTTAGTCATCTCCTAAATTACCTTCTCAAAGTCTGATCTTCAAATACCAGGACACGAGATGAAGTATGAGAAGCAGTATAGGAACTCTGTCCCCCACATGATGTGTTACCTACAGCTTTAAAGGAACTGTTTAGCCCTTCTATATCCCAAATCAGACAAGACTGCAGTGAGCCAGCACCTGTGCTTCCTTGTCTGCCCCAAGGCCCCCTGAGGTTCTGCAGAAGGGATCACAGGGACAATGACCTGCCTATGTTTCCAAGCCCCTTCAGCCTTGTGGGAACATGTCCTGGCTTTGAGCAGGTTTGGGCTTCCATCTGCTAAGCAGAGCATGAGGAAAGGGGGAGAAAGACGAAGCAGCAGCAACTTGGGGGGACAAAGCAGTCCTGCAGAGGTCAGACAATCTCTGCTATAGAGGTGCCATGGCAGCTACAGCCTTGAATCCTTTTCCTTTTAGCAGGGCTTGTCACAAACAAAAGCATACCAGTGTTGTATTCAAGTCTTTTGTTGTTTCCTTTTTTTTTTTTTCTTTAGGTATTAGAATGAAAATGCAGCATTCAGTCTTCCACTGAAGTTTATAAAATATGTATTATTTAATCACATGACCAGAAGAGCTCCCTAAAGTAACTGCTTATTAAGACAGTGCTTTAAAAACCACTATTATGTACCTAGCAGACCAGAACAGCTCCTTTCAAGCATTTCCAGTCAATCCCACTAATAAATATTTAGCGTGATGCAAATTGAAAATACACTCTCACAATCCTTCAAAAAACTAGCCACTAGATAAAGTTTGCAGGTTTAGTCACTTGGGACATTTTTCTCCCCAAGATTCCACCATCAGTGAGAGCACGCTTTTGTCCTAGTTGCATACCAATGAATAAAATAGAAATAATTTTTCTTTTTCAACAAAATAGGAGAACAAATTAAGTGGAAACACCCCTCCCTTTTTTTTCCCCCTCTTTCCTCTTTTCTCATCCCCAGATGAAAGCTTCCTGCACTTCCAGAGTCTTTCAAATATTATTTCCTGGATATCAGAAAAGTATTCTGCTCTGAAGCACAGCCCATTCTTGGATCTGATTAAAGGCCTTTGGCTGCTGAGGTGTGCAGGAATGAAACAGTTATTTAGTGAAGATATGCTGCCTTCAGTGATGGAAAGGAATCTGTGGGTTAGAAGACCCCCAACAGTGCAAACTGCATGCATTAACAGTGTTGTGCCTCAGAAAACAAGACCTGGCAATAAAGAGGACATGGAGATTATTATGAATAGCTCCATCCTGCATCCGCAGAAAAAAAACAGAACCAAGCAATGAAAGAGAACATGGGAATGGTGCTGAAAGAACGAACACAAAGGACTCTTCACCAGAAGAACAAACTGAAAGTCTATTGCAATATTGATTTGCTTCTATTTTGTGCTACTGCACATTAATTTTTTTGGTTGCAGGAGAAAGAGCATGGATGTCCTAAGGTATGTAATTTCTAGGCATTTTTGGCTTTCTTCACAGGTTTGGCTTGTTTTTTTTTTGTTTTTTTTTTTTGTGGTACAGCTTGAGGTTTTTATCTTGCTCTTTGTACAGACTTGCTGCTGCTTTTCCATGGCTTTTCTTTCCTGTAGTGAAATTTTATTGCAATAAAGAAACAAAAATATTCATTTTTTGGTACATTTGAAAATCAGTGGATTTTTGCAATTAGGGACAATTAGGAGGTACTCCAATGAGTAAGGAGTCTCCAATGCACCAATGCACACAGATTTGCTCCCACTACTCCCATTAACTAGAAAGGGAATAATGGGGAATAGCAGCCATGCACCTTTTTGAAAATTTGCTTCTGTATTTATATTACCATAAAGCAATCCCACTGACAGAGCACAGTGGACCAGAGGCTGTATTTGGTAAAACAAGTCTGTACTACACAGGATTTACTTGGGAACTTTCACCTTGAATTCAAGTAACATCCAATTAAAGAATATAAAGCAAATAAGGTGACAATTGGTTGGCAATACACATGCAGCACATTTACTCTGCACACCTTAGCTGTATGCCTGACCATTTTCCTGCACAGTTTGCTCTTCTGCCTCAAAAGCGAATGACAGAAGCTTTAATGATTTTTCAATATTGATCTGACAGCTGGTTCATGAGACCACACTGATAAATGAAATTTATCAGCCATTCAGGTCATTCTTACTTGATGAAGGGTCTGTTATCCTCATAGCTAAAGAATGCATAGACATAAAGACAAGAACACCAACATTAGAAATATAATGACATAGAGAATAGAGTTTACTGCTAGTTCCCTTCCCTTCTCCCACCAGCCATCACCAAAACCAAAGGTGGACTGGCATCAGGTGTGCCTGGAACACACCAGCCAGCCTGGCTTGCTGCCCCAGGGAATTCAAACACAACTGGGAATGCTGGCTTAATGCACAAAAGCAGGCATCACTAGTTGTGTGCTGCAGCTACCCCTCCTGGCTACCATCCCACAGACAGCTGCCAATGGACTTTGAAATATCTTTCCAATGCCACGGCTGTCCCTGGAGAAGACAAGTTTTGAAACCCCAGGACAGCCACCACAGGCGGCTTTCGTGGGTTCAAACTTCACCACGTCTTCAGCACTCTCTGCCTGTGGGGCTGGAGCGAGTTACAGGACTATCTTTATTGCCATTTACTTTTCCGAAGTGGAACTCCCAAGTTGCCACATTATGAGTCAGACTGCAGCATTCTTGAGGTAATGGCATCAAGATCTTCTAAAGCCCTGGCTGACAAGGCATGGACCCATTTACTACCATTTCATGGGGAAGGGCAAAGAAAGGCAGGGGTGAAAAGCAGCTCACTGCAGTGAGGAAGAAACCAAGCTGGATCACTCAGCTCCCGATGCTGTGGGAACACAAGATTAGGCACAGCCAGTTTCCTAGGGGAGTCTCCCTGCCTTTCTGGGACAGGCTGTGTCCCTAACCCTGCCTGTGTGGCTGTGATGTGCAGCCACTCCCAGGCCTCCTCTCCCCACTGACAGGGAGCTTCAGAGCCTGCCATCCCTCACAGAATCCCCCAAGGGTGCCAGAGATGGAGGATGGCTCAATATGTTCATCTCATTACCCCTGTCAACACCGCCAGGGCCAGTCCATCCTGCTGAGACCTCCTTTGGTCAATACTGGCAACCTGCAGCTCCCCTACAATGCAATTAAATGAAATGAAGATACGACACAATCTGGAGCTGTCAGCCCAGCAACGTAGGCAGGAGCAGGGCCTGGCTTTCTATTACTGTGTTCACAGGCATGCAGGTCTTACGGCAAAGAATTTATACTGAAAAGCAACCAGCACTAGATTACAGAAGTACAGAATTAGAATTTTTTTTAATGTTGCTGTTACTATCCAGACCCTGAAGTTTTTCAGCAACCCCACAACAGCATTTCTTCAAGGCAGCTGAAGGTTCCATTTCATCTTTGTACAGACAAAATGCAGAACCGGTAAACTCCGATTCCCTTTGAGCTTGAGGCTAACACTTCAAAGCAGCTCAGGAGAAAACCGCTAAAAACCTTAGCAGTTTTTACCCTATTTTCAACATGGATGTGTCTAAGACCCACTGCCCAAAGCAAACAGGTGCCTAAAGAAGTGAGATTTTCAAAGATGCCTAACTCGCAATTTAATTCTCTACACACAGCGGCCACAGAATTTAGTCTCTTATATCTCTCATGAAATACAATCCTTTTCATTTTACCAACTCAAGTGTTGTAAGAAGCTTAACTCTTGTGTTAGCAACAATTTCTGACAAAAATTACTTCAGAATGTTTTGGTTTTTTTTACCCTGGTGAAGTCTGTGAAACCTATCAGTGCTGCCGTAATACTCTGTCATTATCTGCAATACATAAAACCCATCACTTAGACAAGAGAAAAGCCTTGGAAGAGCCTCAGTTCTCAGAAAAAAATGGAGGTGCTGACTGGAAAACTGAGATTATATTCACTAGTAGTAAAAGAAAGTAATAATTAAAGCAGAAATTGTTGGAAAATCTAGCCTAGCACAGCC